ATATTTTGAGTGCAATTGAGACAGAGATAGAGAATATGATGTCAGAGAGAGAGAGAGAGAGAGAGAGAGAGACGCAGAGAGAGACAGAGAGACGCAGAGAGAGACGGAAAGAGAGACAGAGAGAGAAAGAGACGGAAAGAGAGACAGAGAGAGACGCAGAGAGACTGTGAGGGAGAGAATGAGAGACACTAATATATTGCCTAATAAAGTAACAGAAATTTTAATAATTCGTGGAACCTTGATTATTTTTGTATCGAGGTTAATAATAAACCCTTATGTTTATTATGTGAGCAAGCTATATGCATTAACATGAAATATAATATAGATTTACATTTTAAATCAAAATAAGAAATTTGTTCAAGTTGAAATATGTGATAAACAAGATATATTATTAGCAAGCTATAAAATTTCTTATAATATTGCAAAAAAGTTTAAACATTTTACCATGGGAGATTTTGTAAAAAATTGCATGCTAGATACAAGTTATACATTATTTCCAAATAATATGTATTCAGATACAATTAAGAAAATTGCATTAAGTCAATGGACTGTAGCAAGGAGAATTGATAAAATATCTAGATTTAAGAAATACATTAATTGATAAAATTAGCAAGGTAGAATATTTTTCCATAGCTTTAAATGAAAGTAGATTTGATTGATAGAAAGCAAATGGTAATTTTCATAAGCGGTATAACAAGCACATTTGAAGTTTTGGAGGAGTTACTTGACCTAGTTGAAATAACTGAAAAATCAACAGGGTTTAATTTATTTAAATATTTCATAACGAGTTTAAAAAATATAACAGTTGATTTTAATAAATTTAAATGAATTACTACTGATGGAGCTAGAAATCTTACTGGTGATTAAATCTGCATGATAACATATTTTTAAAAATATATCAAGTTTAAATGTAATAATTTAATTAGTTTCCATTGTTTATTACATAGAGAAAATTTATGTTTAAAAAATATGGATTTAGAAAATATAATCGAGCAAGTTAAAGAAATTGTAAATCAGTTAAAGATACGTGGTAAATTTCATAGGGAATTTAAAATGTACCTTAAAATTAATGATTACCACCATTACCATTAATGAACACCAAAACAACTAAAATCACACAAATGACATGATTAAAAAAAAACAACCGCAAAACAAAAACCATAAATTGCCAAAAGTTTTATTCCTTAATATAAAATATTTTATCAGATAATTTATAAATGGCGATTTATACAAAGAAAATTGAAATCTTGATTAAATTTTAACCTATTGTAATTAAAAAGAATACTGAAAAAATATTACACGTTGACCACTTGAGTACTACCAGGGAGTTGGCCCTTGCGAAACCAGGGACAATAGTCGTCACCCTTGTAGTTATCGTTACAGATGCACTCGTTGCAGGTTCGGAGGAGTTTAGCGCGAGTACGGAAACCGTTGCAGTCGTACAGAGAATCGGCGTCGCAGTTGGCACCGTACAGACTGACCGACTTAATGGTGGCCGGGTTCTCGAAATTGGGATGAGTGGACGATGCACGTGCACCACAAATTTGGCCTTGCACTGCACCGCACGTGCACGTTTGCGGATAGTCTGAGCCTGATTATTAAATTTTTAAAAATTATTTTTTTAAATCGTAATAAATTGTCATTTTAAGGGAACCCATAAAAAATTTCGATTTATGTCCAAAATATAATTTATCGTTAGATTTATCTAATATTTAGACTAGCAACTTGTTATTTATATTTCTACTTACATTTAGGCTCCTCAGGACATCCACCATAAACAGTATTGACAAACAGTAAAGTGAATGTTGCCAATAGTATGATGCTCATGGTAAGTTTCATTGTGTTTTTTAAATATATGCCAATGTTAAATTTTGCTAAATAATATAATTAATTAGACAAAAATTTAATGATGGAAAATATTGAAATGATGTTGGTTATATATATTAATTTAATGGTCATAAAAAATTGGATAATAAAATTTTATCGAAAATTAAAATCGAAATTTATTATGTATTTATCAATTTCATTTGAATAATGCGGTATATGAATAATGAATAATGCGCAATTATAATGCGGTATATTTGTGTATATAGATTTATCATTTTAATTTATTACTGGGTAATTTTATTATTATATTAAATGATAGATAACGATCAAACGGGAACTGGGAACGCCAACTTTTACTTGGAATATGTAAAAATTTTTATGACTTAATAATACTGTATTAGTGAAATTGATAAAAAAATTTATTAGCCATGTTCATACAGTAAACAAATAAGCTGATATTATATTGAATTTATATACTGTAGTTATTTTGTTTGATCGTTATCTATCATTTAATATAATAATAAAATTACCCAGTAATAAATTAAAATGATAAATCTATATACACAAATATACCGCATTATAATTGCGCATTATTCATTATTCATATACCGCATTA